AGATACTGAGTGTTTGTTAGGTACCAGAGGGGTAAGAAATAAAGGCTGTTGTCGTGCCTTCAGGGAGCTGAAGACAGGGAAACAAGACAAGCACACATCAGCTCTGGAACAAAGGCCAGGATGCAGTATTTTACTGAGTCTAGACCGTGGGCTTGTGGGCTTCGGGCAGCTGAGTAGGTGGCCCCCTGGGACACCATGGAGGAGAGAAGCAGAGAGACATCACCACGAAAGGCGTGAAGAGCCTGCAGGGCTTGAGGTAGGCTTTAGAAGGAAGCCTTTTCGTTGGCGGATGGGATGACAGAGCATTCTAAAGCAGTGTCGTCCAATGTTTTTTCTTGTGATTCCCCAGTAAAAATACATATTTTATATCACCGCCCAGGATGCATACATAATCAAAAGTTTCATGAAACATTTAACTTTATTAAATACGGTGCATCTGATGTTTGCTGGTTTTTTCTAACTCATTTTTGTTAAATGTTGGATGAACCCACTTGCAGGTTGACACCACCATTCTAAGGGGACCAGGAGCCCAGTGTGGAGGCAGAGCTAAGCCGCCCTATGGAGGGAGTGCCATTTAGAGGAGGGGATTTCCATGGGAAGTGGTGAGGGGGGATGGGATATTTGTGTGGTGATGGTCTCTAGAAGCCTTCCCTGAGTATGAGTGAATTACATTGGGTTGTTATGGCAGAATTTCAAACTTCACCTGTCATATGATCTACTTCTGACACCAAATGGTTTTCTCTATACCCACAACCAATCCTCCAACTCTTCCGGCACCAACAAGGTGTCCCAGCAATGCAATTCAGTTCTGACACTAATGACCTCGAGGTATTGTCAGATCCCACAGTTAAGGGCCCAGTCCCACAAAATTGCTCCCATTTCAGATGCCATCTACATCTGGGCCAACTGTACATCTGACCAACAAGCTATGAAGTTGGGGGGTTCCCACAGCCCATGTCTCAGGTTTGATAATTTGTGAGATGGGCTCACAGAACTCAGACACTGCTTAGTATTACTAAGTTTATTGTAAAGAATACAAATCAGGAATAGCCAAATGGAAGAAAGGCACAGGGCAAGATAGGGGATGTGTGTGTGGGTGTGTACACGCAACGCTTCTACTCCCTCTCCAGCATCATCCTCCCCCCAGCGCCCCGATGTGTTCACCAACCTGGAAGCTCTCTGAACCCTGTGGTTTCAGAGTGGGTTAAGGCTTTTTATGGAGGTTCCATTATATAGGCATAATGGATTAAATCATTGGCCATTTGCTGATTGACTCAATCTCTAAACCCTCTCCCCTCCCTGGAGGTGGAGTTAGGGCTCAAAGTTCTAACCGTCTAATAATATGGTTAATTCCCTTGGCAACCAGTCCCCATCTGAAGCTATTTAGGGGCTTCTAGCCACCAGTCATGTCATTAACTCATGTAAGAGGCTTATTATGAATAACAAAAGATACACTTCAGCCCTATCACTCAGGAAATTCATGGATTTTAGAAGCTCTAGTGCTAGGAACCAGGGACAGAACCAAATCTGTAATTCTCATATCACAATATCACAACCTATTTATCTGACCAACCCTACTGTGAGTCAGTGAATTGGGCAAGATAACTTTTTTTTTTTTTTAAAGATTTTATTTATTTATTTGAGACAGAGAGAATGAGAGAGAGAGAGCACATGAGAGGGGGGAGGGTCAGAGGCAGAAGCAGGCTCCCTGCCGAGCAGGGAGCCCGATGCGGGACTCGATCCAGGGACTCCAGGATCATGACCTGAGCCGAAGGCAGTCGCTTAACCAACTGAGCCACCCAGGCACCCTAACTTTTTAAGATTCCTTTTGATGCTTGGTTTCAAATTAGTACCACTTAGCAGAGGGATAGAGGTGGATGAGAAGAATTTGCTTCTAGATTCTCAGTAGAGCACTGACATTAAAAGTATATATTAAACATCTGTTTTATCTCATCTTGTGGATGGCCATGGAATTTTTGGTATGGAATGTAGCACTGGGTAGAATGGTTTTATGGGAGAAAATACAAGGACGATCCCCATGAACGGGTTTAGGAGAGGAAGGTGATAGCACCTTGAAAGCCAAGCTTTCTGGAAGAAACATGGTACGGCCCGTTGTGCATATCAGAACTACTTACAAGTATTACCAGCCGCCTGACCCAGGACTAGAGAGCTCAGTCACATTAGCATCACCTCCTTATGAGCGCTGGCCAGCAGTCTGGGATGTCATTTCAGAATCTGGATTCCTGGGTTAGAGCAAGGACAAATTGAGATCCTTCTTGTCCCCCACTTTTAGCATACTTGGGAGAATTTTAAGAGTAAACTCTTACTTTTCTCTCATTTCCCAACCAATGGTCTATGTTCTCCCCCAGTTTCTTCCTCAGGTTTGCTCCTGCCTTCCCGATTTGTTCTGAACTGTTCTCTTGGCTCGGATTCTAAGGCCAATATGTATAGCACCCATCCGTTTCCTTCCTGCTGCTTACTGTGAACCCCATCTGCAGCACAGACAGGTTGAATGGTGGTGTGGATTATTTATTAAATCTTTGTGTGTGGGTAGCTGTGTTCTTTCCACCTTATCTGTTCTAACAGGAGAGTAACTTTGGGCCTGCAATGAGGAGAAACTAAATGAAAGAGAAGAATTTTAGATCTCAAGGGATGTGCCATTGACCTTGTCCTCCAGAGGGTGGGGGGGAGGGGCTCTTTCTTGCTGTGTCCTCTAGAAACTGAACTCCCTAAATATCCACATGTAACTAATTTCAGGGAATCCCTACAACCAGATTTTTCTCTACCCGAGTTCAGGGCCTTAGCGGCACTGAAAAGGAAAATCCTTTCATGTGGCTTTTCTTTGCTTAAGTACTTTCAGTCATATCCTCTGAGGTTTAATATCCTTTTGATCTTCCCAATCCAGTTTTAAGTTGGTCAGTTTAAATTAGGGAAGGACTTAAAGACAACACTAATAATGTGGCTTTGGGATAATGTAGATAGGAACCATTGGTCCTGAATGTACTTTGATGAATTTTTTGTTTTGTTTTGGCTTGTTAAATGCTGTCTGAGGGAAATAAACTTCACTCTGTTTCTTGGTGTTTGCTACGTTTCGTTCTTAGGTAAAGCTTCCTATTCTACCAACAAATGCTTGTGCTTGAGGCAGTATATGTATTGTGTTCTTCTGCAATAGAAAGCCTGATTTGTCATTGAAGATAAAACCTAATGTCGGGGCGCCTGGGTGGCTCAGTTGGTTGGGCGACTGCCTTCGGCTCGGGTCATGATCCCGGAGTCCTGGGATCGAGTCCTGCGTCGGGCTCCCTGCTTGGCGGGGAGTCTGCTTCTCCCTCTGACCTTCCTCCCTCTCATGCTCTCTGTCTCTCATTCTCTTTCTCAAATGAATAAATAGAATCTTTAAAAAAACAAAAAAAAACCTAATGTCATCTTTGTGAGTGTACTGATAGTTGAAGAAGTGTGGGTGACATTGGCGTAGACACATTCTTAACTTATTAAAAATATTTAGAGAGCTGCTTTGTTCTATATGATAGCCTCTAGCTACTGGCTCTGGAAGTCTAAAATTAACAATTCGATTCCTTAGTCATACAAGCCACATTTCCAGTGCTCAGTAGCCGTATGTGGCTAATGTGATAATGACCATTTGGGCCAGATAATTCTTTGCTGGGGTGTGGGTGGGGGTGTGGAGCTGTCCTATGCATTGCAGAATGTTTAGCAGCACCCCTCGCCCCACCTACTAGAGGCCAGGAGCATCTAGTCACAACAATCAAAAATGTCTGTAGAGACTGCCAAATGTCCGCTGAGGAACAAAATCATCCCTGGGTGAGGATAACTTGCCTAGTTTGTCCAGTGCAGATATAAAACATTTCCATGAACAAAGACAATACTGTTCTAGAATAATCTCCGGCAAAGTTTGGTTGGGGGACATTTTATAGATTAAGCATTTTTGAGCTTTAGAGGAATCAGAGTAGTCATCTGGTCCAAAGCCTCGGGAAACTGAGGCGCTTGAGAGGTTTGGGTGACTTAAGGTCCACCGCATGGAAGTATCAATCTAGACTGCTAGATTTCTGGCTCATGCAGCCTAGAGGACAGACTTCTGATTTTCATTTCAACCTATCTCCTCATTCCTGTGTTCTCGCACTCAGTGATGGCTCTGGGGAGGAGGGAGTCCTAAGAAATGGGAGTGGTCTTGTCCTGAGCCTCAAAGCAAATTTCTTACCTTAACCCTGTGCACCTCTATTTTACTCCTGCATGGCCTGTGGCTTTCTCTAAGGCCCTGCCTCTAGGCTGCAGTTGGAGGGGTGCCTGGGACATCTTGTAGACCCACCTTTGTGTATCAGAAGGTGGAGCCCTATTGGGTTTCCCAGTTCCATCAGTGCAGAGAGTTTGGGAACACGCTCCTAGGGCTGTGGAAGGTTGTAGTCCTGTAAAATTTCCCTCTTGTTAACTGTTAAATTGCCAGTGTCTCTGTCAGCTTCCATGCAGTGGTCCATGGCCAAGCCTTTAAAATGAAATGCCTGGCGGTTTTTAATCTTCAGAGGTCTCAAGGAAGCAGAGAGCCCTGCAGAAAGTTTTGGGGAGGGAGAAGGAATCTTTCTAAGGGTGTTGGTATCCACAGCGGGAGGGGCCAGAAAGTGGGCTTAGCTAGGAGAGGTCTGGAGGGCAGGCAGGCCTGCAGAGTGACCCAGGGGCCCCAGGATGTGCCCCAGGATCTTTTCTCCCGAATTAATCCTCTATACCTCTCCATGACTCTTCTTCAATCGCTGATTTTATTCCCTTCTCTGTTCCAAAACCTTCAGTGGCTCAGTGCTGCCTTTTCACATGCGAAACTTCTTGGCCTTCTACTCAGGGCCCATTTGCTCTTGCATGGAGACCTCCTCTTTTCCTTTGTAAGAGTAAAAACCAATTTTTATGCACATGAAAGTGCATATTGTGCACTGTGACTGTGACTGTGGTTCACAGAATGATTCTGTCGGGCTGGGGGTAGGCAGTGGTGGAGGCTTTGCTCAAAGCTGTTTGATGTTTAATAGCTCGCTCGGGAAGAAGTTTTGTTTCTGATGATACTTTGTTGAGTCGGTAGCCCGGACAACTCAAAAATCAAAAATTTATGCAGCTCAAAAGTCAGGGCCCAGGGAACAGGCCAGAAAGAGTGGCAGTGAAAGCAAGCGAAGAGTTGTGTGTAAATAAAACCTCAAGTCACCTTGAGCTCTGGGCCAGTTTGGTTCTGTAACACTGTGGGCCCAGTGAGCTGTGGCCCAGGTCAAAGGCCAGTATCCTGAGGAGCCAGCTGTCAGAGTTTAGCTGGAAACAAGCTAATGTGTAAACTTGCCTCGAAGTCTTTTCAAGTGGCTTCATTTTCCCAGCTTCACTGAAAAGAAGTGACTTTATTTCAGAGTTTGCTGACCAGCTGCTGTTCCATTGAACTGTTGATGTTTTCCATTGGGAAACCGGTCTTCTTGAGTGTCTCCATGGTGAAGGGGAAGGTATCTGATTTGGGGGCAGGTTTTGATTTTAGTGACGGGAGGGTGGAGCCCGGGAGGACCGGGGTCCTGCTGGTCAGTGTGACTGTGGCCACTGTTGTTCACTAGCTCTGCATCTCCCCTTTGCTCCACAGACCAACGAGTGGAACAAGAATGATGACCGGCTGCTACAGGCTGTGGAGAATGGAGATGCGGAGAAGGTGGCCTCCCTGCTGGGCAAGAAGGGGGCTAGTGCCACCAAGCAGGACAGCGAGGGCAAGACCGCGTAAGCTAAAAAGATTGGTTTCTAACTGGAGTGATTCTGGCTTCTCGAGAGTGTTCTCTGGAGTCCTTGGGATCCACAAGGGGAACTTCACAAATGCCTTGAAGGAGACTTTGTGAAATTACTGTCCTCCCCCATTCCTACCCCTCACGTTAAGATGTGTAAGAGGATATTTTCATCTGGTTCCTGTCTCTTCAAGTTCCAAATTGCACACTGACCTTTACCTTGGGTGGCTATATTTGTTTTTAGGTGTAAGCGAAGATTACACCAGAGACGAAATAGCACCAGGATTGCAACCAGTTGATAGGTAGGAAAGGAATTCTGTCCTACATTCGAAACAGCATAAAAGAGGGTAATTTTTTTCATAACCCTCAAACCTTACTATTTATATTGTTATTTTTTTTAAAACCCCTTCCTTAATGTAGATCAGTAATTACATGAATAGCGTGAATTTTGCATTATAATTTGCCATTTGTGGTACTCTTGCCCGCCATAATTAGAATTATAGATTTGAGTGTGTGTGTGTGTGTTTGTATCTGTATCCGTCCTTACTCTGGTCATATTGTAGAGAGATCATTGACTTTGTAGCTAAATAGACTTCTAATCTGGACTTCATCACTTACGAATTATGTAGTCTTTTTTTTTTTTTTCAAGATTTTATTTATTTATTTGACAGAGAGAGATACAGCGAGAGAGGGAACACAAGCAGGGGGAGTGGCAGAGGGAGAAGCAGGCTTCCTGCTGAGCAGGGAGCCCGATGCGGGGCTCAATCCCAGTACCCTGGGATCATGACCTGAGCCGAAGGCAGACGCTTAAAGACTGAGCCACCCAGGCGCCCCGAATTGTGTAGTCTTTGAATCTTAATTTATTCCATTTAAATTGGAGATGATAATATTTAACCACGAGTATAGTTATGAATATAAAACAAGATCCTGACTTTGGTTAGGCGCCTCCAGAAGCAGGTTCTGAGATAAAGATTTGAGTGTGAGCTGTTTCTCTAGCCAGTGTTCCCAGGAGCACGCAGGAAAGGCCTGAACCCACGTGGTTTGTTACTGATGGGCTACTGCTGTGGGCGGTTGGAACCCAGTCTCGCTAAGACCTCTGGGAGTCTCTTTAGACTCAGAGGAGGGGTTGGCCAACTCTGGCCCGCAGTCTGTCTTTGTAAATAAAGTTTCAGTGGGATGGAGCCAAATCCATTTATTTACAGTAGCCTTGGCTACTTCTGCACTGCAAAGGCAGATTTGAGGAGTTGAGGCAAAGACTATGGCTTACAAATCCTAACATATTAACTCTCTGGCCTCTTGCAGAACTGGTTTTCTTACCCCAGGTTTAAAGTATGCCTCAAAGTTATCTGACCCAAGGGGTAAGGAAACTGGGGTATCTGTTCCTAATCACTTGTCCCTCCAAGGTTGAGTGCTGCTCCCAGGGCCCATAATGCTCATGGGCAGAACAGGTCCAAGAGGTTATGAAAGGGGCACCTGTAGCTATAGATAGCATAGGTAAAGAGCTCGCAGTGGCCCCCAGTAGGTACTTGATAAATCCAGTTCCCTTTCCTTCTTATCCTAAACGAGTGGTTCTTAGTCCTGGCAGCTCCTGCCTGAGAATCACCTGGGGTATTTAAAAACATATTGATGCCAGGCGCACTCCAGATGTTCAGAAACATTTTGTCTATGCAGAGGCCCAGGAATCAATACTTTTATTATCTTTTTATTTATTTATGTATTTGTTTATTTTTAGATTTTATTATTTGACAGAGAGAGAGCACAAGCAGGGAGAGCAGCAGAGGGAGAGGGAGAAACAGACTCCCCGCTGAGCAAGGAGCTGGATTCGGGCCTCGATCCCAGGACCCTGGGATCATGACCTGAGCCAAAGGCAGATGCTTAACCAACTGAGCCACCCAGGTGCCCCGGGAATCCATATTTTTTAAAGCATCCCACGTAGGTTCGACCAGAGAGAACCATCATCTAGAAACTGGATCGACTCTAGGTTGATTGATTGATAGATAGTGAGAATAAAGGGCAAATTTTCAGGACAAGATTGAGCATCACATTTTAGCAAATTCTGTCAATGAAACCCTCTTCCTGGAACCCACTGAATCCCATAGCATAGACACTAGTTCTATTGTTTGGGGAGCCACAAGATAGCCTACAGAGCTATGCTCTGTCTAGGGAGCAGGCTAGTTCATATGCAAGGGGAAGAGGGAAGTGTTCTCACTCAGATTAGAGTCTGGTCCTCTAGGGGCCGGGCTGGTCCTCTCCGCCAAAGCCCCCAGGTTGAGCTCCCCACCATCAGCCTCTTTGACATCCCAACTTTGCAGAGGCCGGTCTCTCGGGTGTGGAGTCCAGGGCCATAATCCTGGTGGATTCTGACATGGGAGGCAGATGTCTAATATCAGGTGGGCTTTAGTTGTTGCCTAATAATCGTGTTGAGTGAGTTGCCTACCCAACCTTATATAATTCTTAGTTCTTAACTGTCTTGCAGTCTAGATTGTAATTTCCTTGACAAAGGGACTGTTACCTTCTAGCTCATCCCTATAATTAAATCATCTAGCCCACTGCTCAGCTTATAGATACTCAAAAAATATTTTTCGAATGCATTAATTACCCTTTTCCCAGGATGCCGCACTTGGAGTTGGTGCTTTCTGAGCCACAGTGGCAGAGACCACGCTCCTAAACCTGCCATGAGATTTTTGGTGGGGGACTGCTTCTTGTCCCACTCTAGAGCTCTCTGGGCTCCTGCTGCTCGCAGCTCAGCTTGGCAGATGCCTGCACAAGACAGCCTTTTACAGCCCTCCCAGAGAGGTGGGAGCTAGATACCTCTGATAGTTTTGTCCAAGACAACCCTCACTAAAAAGAAGATGGAAAACTTAGGTCAGCAGCTTAGCCACAATTGTGATCACCTTAATAAATTTGTACCTTTTGTTAATAAGATATTTATTATGGGTGGAGTAGATGGCCAGGCAGTTAATGTCTCTCTCTTTTGTTGTGGGAAAATATATATAACATCAACCTTACCATGTTAACCACTTTCAAGTACACATTTCATTGACATTAAGTACATTTGCTGTGTTGCGCAACCGTCATCATTTAGTTCCAGAAATTTTTCATCATCCCAAAAGGAAACCTTGTACTCCCTAAGCAGTGACCCTTCTCAGCCTACCTCCCCTCCCCCTGGCAACCACTAATCTGCTTTCTGTCTCTGTGAATTTGCCTATTCTGGATATTTAATATAAATGGAATCATACTGCTGGGCCCCTTGTCTGTGTTGTTGGTTTTTTTTTTTTTTTTTTCCACCGAGTGTAAGGTTTTTAAAGTTCATCCTTGCTGTAGCACGGATCAGTTCTTCATTCTGTTATCTTTTCATGGCAGAAATGCATACAGCAATTATACCAAAATCACCCCCTCCACTTGGCAGATGGTAAAACCAAGGCTCACGTGATCTAGCTCTCCCTGAATTAACTCCAGAACCAGTTCTACCCTTGGCCTTTGTACTTACAAGTCTGCCATTTTTTGCTTTGATGACTCCTGTGTAGAAGGTTAGAGGAACTATGAAAAAAAAGGAAGAGAAGGTCATTATTTTTTCAGGGGAAGATTTTTCATAAATAATCATCTGTTAACATTTAATTTTTCTGCTTAGAATATTCCTTATGATGATTAAAGTTATTAAGTGATAACTGTAAGGATTTAATTGTCAGAGGCACCGTGGAGTTAATCTATCTGGCTGCATAGTTTCATTCAAATCTAATAGTTTTGGTATTCAGAATAAGGGGTGCTGTGGGGTTGGACACCATGGCCCCTGCCTCTTTGGTATCATGGAATCATGCAAGGCCCAGAGCTCTGTTGTTAACAGGAGCCCCAAGCAGTGCTGTCCCCCTGGCTCCTGTCCTCTCACTCTGGAGGTCTGCACTTCCATATTTGGGTTAGTCTAATCTGTGCTTTCCTGCCCGAGTGTAGCTGTGTCCCCCTCCCATTTGAAGATTTTTCTCAAGCTGTGGAGACTTTTCCTTTGTCCTTTCCCATTCTCTCCACGTGCATCGGTTGGTTGCAAACTAGTAACTTCCTCAGAGCCGTCCTGAGTCTGTGACAGAGCAAGGTAGCGCGTCCCCTCTGCTGAAGCTTTTGGCTACACTAGCCCCATGGAGCTTGCAGGCCCAGCATTTGTTTGTGGACTTGTACAGAGTGGTTGGCAGTTGTCTCTAAAGGGTAAGGCCAGTCACACACTTAGTTAGGTCCTTGCCTCATTCTCTGCCTACTCGTTTGGGTTTACTCTTTGACTTATCGACCTCCCTGTCAAATTAGGCTGGAGGCCTCTTTTCTAGCAAGCTCTTGTACTAACCCACTTTGTAATTCTGTTCGGTAATGGACAGCGTTTCTCTCTTGCCTGACAACTGCAGTCCTGATTTGGGCTCTCCGGGCCCTCCCACTGGCCCTGCCATTACTTCATCGAATGTTTTCTTGCCCTGCCTTCTCCTGAAGGCTGGGCTGTTGGCTCCCTGCTCTCCCCTCATGTTTGCCCAGGTTTGGTGTCTAGTCCAGAAGACCTCCTCTCTGATGTTCTCAGTCCTTTTAAAAATTTTCTTCTCTTTGAAATACCAGCATCTTGATTTACAACTTGATATGTTGTTCTTGTTCCTTCAGTACAATAACAGAAAAGTCTGTACAGCTTTAAAAAAACTTTTGTTTTCTGAAAGGCTTGAATCCCTTATAACACAGCAAGCTCCCTGAATACAAGGATCACGTGATTTTTGTTGTTGTGTTGGGGTCTCCCACAGTTTCAGGCAGAGAAGAGGCATTCAGTCAGTATTTGCGGATGTGCCTTTTCGGCATGACAGTTATGGAGAAAACACTCTTTGTTAGTGATACCTCATGGGGAAATTAATTAGGAGTGGATTAACTTGGGGTTCAAGAGGAAAATATCCGGGTGAACGTCACAACCTGACGCTTCTCTTTTCCCCGCTTCCAGTGCAATCTAAAGAGAGAAATACTCAGCCTTTACTACCTAGA